TCAAACAAGCAGAATAACACAAAGAATTCGCTTTAGCAATGGAACCATTTTATTGTTTTTTTTTTCACTACTTAACAAAACGAATGGGGAATAGGTACAATAACCAAAAACGATTGATCTAAAATGTAACATTTCATAAAAAAACAGAATTAGCCTCTTAGACAATGACGATTGTAATAGAATCATCCAGGTCTTCCATCCATGAACTTGATCAATTCTCTTAATTGATCAAATTCATGGTCATTCGCATACACAACAATAACATAAAAGCTCTCCTTTCTGTTTATTTTGCATTTTATCTGTAGTGCTCACGCGGATTCTAAGAACGGTTCTAAAGATACATACCTAGGATGAGAACTAAACAAACTGGTGTTATAACCAACAAGCTTTACAAACGACCAATAAATATTTCACGTTAGCTTTTTATGTATGTTTCTCGCACAGTGCCGGTACACAATTTAACTTTCGCAATATAGGGCGCATAATATTAGCACATAGTAGTAAATAAATTCTCATATGCGTTATCAGTATACATAATAGATAGAAGCAAATGCTTATATGTATATTATGCTATGCACCAAAGTTGGTAAGTAACGTAACCATCACATAAGCTTATAACGGTCATGCAAGAATGTTTGTAAAATTCGCTACCTGAGTAATGAGTTAGTGCAATATTAAATATAGTATAATAAGAGCAAGTAGGGCAACTCCCTCGCGGCAACTTACTCACTCGGTTTTAGGGCCCACTGAAAATCAGCGTCACAGCCTTTTCTCGGTGGTGACAATAGCTGAGTGGGATCCTGTTACATACGCCACAGCCACGCACATGACACTTAATCTAATTGTGTTAAATATTTCATGTTTGCTTTGTTGTTGTGTATGATTTTATTTTTATTCCTTTTTCTTCCCGTTATTTTAATTTTAATTTTTTGTTTTAATGTAGCTTCATCTTTTTTTTATGTTCATTTTATTACTGTGTGTATTATTGTAGTGTAGTAATAAAAGATTTCTATTCTATTCTATTCTATTCCAAATACCTACATTTCGCTCGGAGCATAGGGTTGGTACATACATACATCAATATTTTAGTTTGTACCTGCAGGTTGTAAACATAATGTTCATCACAGCAGAAGAGCTTCAATTTAAAAAAATGTTCATCACAGCAGAAGAGCTTTGTGGTGAAGCACACTGCCAGCGATCTGTGAGCAATTTAAAAGATCCCGCCGCGCTGTCGCTTCGCTTTCAAATGTAATAAAGCTCTTATCGCGTTATATTGAAATAACATTTGTTAAATGCAATAGGTACTCACGTATAGATATTTTTACACCAGCTTCACGGATAGGTATCTTGATTATGGAGTACGAATAAAAAATAGTAATACAATGTTGTACAATTCTGAATTTGAAGCAGTCTTATTCAAAGTACCACAAACACAACAATAAGCATAACAATGAATCTTCTTAATGCCACTTCGCGTTATGAACTCGTGGAATTCGCTCCCAGAAGCAGTAGTTAGTGCTCCGACGGTGACTAGTTTCAAAGCTAGATTTGACAAACATTTTGAAACTAAAAATATACATGTGCAGTGATATACATGCATCAACTCGTAGAGCTGCTATTGTAATAATTAAATAATAATAAACATATCTACTATTCGAGTTTTTAGGTTTTCGCGATTGTTACACATAGGAAATGAAACTATTTTTTTATATTAGACATAACTGGTTGAAGACTGTACCACCTCAGTCAACCGTGACCATGGGACCTGTAAAGGGCCCGAAACGTCGGTTTAATTGAAAAAACAAATATACGCGATTTAAATCCGGAAAAATAGTTTCTATCTACTATTTATATATTTTTTTTTAAGCATCAAACTACCGTTTCTTTTCTGTAATTAATGGCGCGTGTGTGACGAGATTACGCGAATGTGTACGTCCATCTACGACACACTGCGGGCATACACACATACAAACCGCGCTGCTACGTTTATATGGAGTTACCTTACCATACTTGTCTTATTATACTACACGATTAGACTACTAGCATGGACCAATAAGTCAAGAGGGTGCTAATCGCGGTACAAGACAGCGCAGTCAAAAAAAAAAAGGTATTTAGTACTTATTGATACACCAGTTGTCGCGATGAGTACCAAATAGCTATTTTTTATATTTAATTTCTTTAAGGGCGCGTGCAAATTAGCCCTATATAATTTCTAGAAGTCGCGCTGCAGTCACGCTCGTCTCGACAGTCATTGACACTGAAACAACAACTGAAAAAAACATAGTAGGCGAGTCATTTTTAATACCTATATGTGAAGTGTCTGCCCCAAGAACTAGGTATAAGTAAAGTTTCTTCGTCAGAATCCATCGGGTAACTGAGTCGAAAGGTAAAACATCACTAAAAATTTGGTCGCACTTCAGCAGCGCGACTGTCGCGCGGCCTCAGCGCTTCTAGCAGCGTTTGAACGCGCCCTTACACAGATTTTTATGGATAGTGGTAGCGCGGTCTATTTTTTTATTTTTTTAGGGTTAGCAACTTAGGAAGTTAGGAATTAACCAAGGAAGAGTTAATTTATAAATTAGTTTGTAACACACAATGCTATGTATTGACTCCTTATATGAACTGACTTCTTATATTTCATATTAAAGAGGAATAAATTTATATCCACAGCCATTTACATAATATAAACTACTTCCACGCTATTGATCAGCGCCATCTAGATGTAAGACGAAATTTGATCATTTTCAGAGTTATGAACTGTAGCATGGAGATTAGCAGTCCTAATAAACCATATTTGCCGACGACAGACAAACTTATTATTTATTATTAAGTATTATTATATTTTCCAATGATTTTTGGTGTTGGTTGTTATTGTGTTCCCCGATTCCGTTCCGAGTCGGTTGGACAGCTTTCGGGAAGCTCCGAGACGTCTTCTCGTCCGCAAGACAAAAGTCTTCGAGCAGTGCGTGTTGCCAGCGAACGAAAGTCCAACATAGCTCGAAGGATTAGCAAGTTCAAGTGGCAGTGGGCAGGGTACAAAGCTCGTAAAACTGACGGCCGTTGGGGCAGAAAGGTTCTAGAACGGAGACCACGAACCGGAAGGCGTTCAGTGAGACGGCCCCCTACTAGATGGACGGATGACCTGGTAAGGGCGGCGGGCAACCGACGGATGCACGTGACGTCTAATCGGCTGGTCTGGAAATCTTTGGGGGAGGCCTATGTTCAGCAGTGGACGTCTTCTGGCTGATATGATGATGATGTTGTTGTTATGAACTGCTTCCACCTTACCTATTTCTGCCACCAAGCAATGTGAGCATCACTGCTTTCCGATTTTGAAGGGTAAGGGCGCTAGCAAATATACAGGCACATGGGACTTGTCAACTTATGTCTCAGAGTGACGGGCGCAGTGGGAGTGCACCTAAGATCTTACCGATTTAAAGTTCTGAGTAGCACTGGAATCGACATGCACAGGGTATCATAAGAAAAAACTACCGTATCGTGTGTAATTTGTGCGTTACACAATTGAAATAAAGTCCATTATGCTATGTGCGTTAAAATTTATTTGAAATTCACCACGTGCTTTTCGGTAGAGAGAACCATCTGCCAAGCAATTTAAAATTGTGTCTATTTAGATATAAACGTGTGTTTGACAGTGTTACGACTTCTAGTATTTATCTATGAAACATACGTAAAGAGTATAAAATAAAAGTGCTACCATATTGGTGCTGACTATCGTTATCAGATTAAAAAAGATATTAATTAATATAGATATTAAAAGAAGATTATAATATATAGATATTTAGAATTGTGTTTTGTAAAAACTTCGCAATAAGTAGTTCACAATTCGCATTGAACACTACATCCCAAGCTCTCCCATTGTGAAAGGATGCTTGTGCTAGTACCTATATATGTATAGTCCAACCATTACTAAGGTGCAATATGTCGTTATAGTTACAGTTTAAACAATCGCAATAAGTAGTAATTGTTATCAAGGTATTTAAGGTGAACATAATTTAGAATAATCGTTGTGCTTATAAGAAATTGGAACCAACATACTCTGCTGGTGGTTGTAGTAAAATTAAAATTGTGGTAAAATAATTTTGCTCAAAATATCTCAAAATACCGCGCACGGTTTACAAATTTTTTTTTACAAAACACGGATCTAAATATCTACATACTATAAAAATCTTCTTTTAATATCTATATTAATTAATATCTTATACAAATCTGATAACGATAGTCAGCACCACCTATATGGAAGCACCTTTATTTTAAACTCTTTATGTATGTTTCATAGATAAATACTAGAAGTCATACCACTGTCAAACACACGTTTATATCTAAATAGATACTATTGGCGATCGTCCTACCAAATCTAGGTGTTTCCATGCGTTCTAGGTGTGTCTGTCTCGCTCTTGCAAAAATTTTGGGCCCACTGATTGGTCAAATCTGTATTCAACATTCTAGTATACAATTCAGAGCTTTTAGATTAATATAAATATAGCGACATTTGTCAATAAACGCATTGATGATGAGAGTTGGAACCAGAAAAGTACGTGCAGCTACTCAACACCTAAATTTCATCGAAGAGCATCTAAAATGTCTTCGAGTAAAGAAAATAAGAATGAGAGATTAAACAAACGAAAATCTTAGAAAAGGAGAAATGAACGACCCAATTCACGTCCAACATAATAAAAAAAATCAAGTTTCATTAATATGTTGCAAAAGGTTTCTTTACAAATCTTGCACAATTAACCTCATACATTGATTTATTACAACAAGACAATGATAAATTGAGCTATCTGTTTCACTTTAGCGATCCCAAGAAAAAACAAACACCAGGAAAATAACAACAGTATCATTTTGTTCTTCTCCGTGTTGGTACCTATAATTCGAAGCGATTCATTGTTTTTAAACACTAAATACATGTAAAATACTTGCATGTAATTAATCTATACAGCGGTTCGTGCGATAAAAACCGATTAGACGTTACGACTCACCTATCTTGGCGCTGCTGAAGACGATCAACGCGTGAGTGTCGTCCACCCACTTGATCTCGAAGCCAGTGTCTTTGTATTCACTGAACAGTGCCAGCAAATCGTTGGTCTTAAACTCACTTGGAAAGTCGTACACTTCAACCACATGCGCAAAAGTCTCGTCGTATGGTCCATTGAATAATGCTTGACCTCGTGTTTGATATTGATCGTAATTGTTTTTCGGTTTACTGATATGAACTTTGCCAACAGTTGATGTCAATTCTTCTAATAACGAGGGATCCAAACACTCTCCACTATCATCGAAAACGGCGTCCCAATCGTTCTCTTCACGCTTTAAAGACACTTTTGATTCCAATTTCGGTTTTAATTTCTTCGGTTCGGGTTCTTTTTCTTCTCGTTCAGGTTCGGTAATAACATTTTCCTTCCTTGGTTCTTCCACAGGATCGGAAATGACCAGGACGTCAGAATGGAAACTTTGTTTGATAATTCTTTTGCTACTTCGATTGATTTCTTGTGACGCACGTTTTAACTCTTTCTTCTCAATATCTTCATCTTTATTATACTTATAATCATTATCTAAAATATTCGAATGATTCGCTTCATTTACAGCCATTTTTCCTTCCGGTTCATTTGTTCTCCAGCCGTTATTAGCGTTTTCTACGTATTCACTGTAATACGGTGGAGCATAAAATCCTAATTGTCCGTTAGTAAAATAATCTCCTATATAAAAATTCTCCCCTACTTCTAATTCATAACTATTATCACTTAATGTTGTTACACTATCACTATTTGGCACTTGGCAGCCTGAAGGCACAGGTTCGATAGTATCGGTAGCTGCGGCTTGGTCTATACTTGGGGCTGTGTGTGACCTTTGATTTCTTAAGTGTGGTGGTGTGTAAACATTGCAGAAACTCTTGTCCACAGACTTTCGTGGCGACCCGTGCGTGGTTTTCTCTTTAGAAGAGGGCGATTTGGGACATTTGGCTCCGTCTGCGGTTTGACTAATTCGTTTGGCGTCGATATTTTTGCTCTCTTCCGCGGCGTGGTTTTCCGCTGCCCTGAGAGCACGCGGCACATACACGGCTCTATCTGGACGACGAGGTTTCGTCGATCCAGATCTGTCAACAATAACATAATAATATTAAGAGAAGACTGCATTAATACTCATTAGCGTGCATGTTTGTGCTTGTTGTTAACAAAACAAGCGAATTTAAAACTTAAAAGAGTTATATACCATAGCACAATAGTGTTTAGCTAATAACCATCACCAAAACAGTCACGTAACATTGAAGAAGGGGGGCAAGGTCGCAGTGATTGTCCAATATTCGTAACTGCCTCTCTCTCGTTGGCACACTTTCGGCGGTTGAGCTTGCTTGCAACGTGATGTTTGCGACTGACTTAAATGAAGTATGCAACCAAACTATGCATTTACAAGTTTTTATATATTTCAAAATCACTTTTGACCTGTATTCAATATTGTTATCACGTACACGGCCGTGAAGTTGACGATTATAGTAAATGATAATTGTCATTCAAGTTGGATAATGAATCTGCGAGTGTCCAAATACGTCCAGTACCTATAGGTACGGGCGGCCATTAAAATAACGCAATGGTACAAATTAATGAGACCAGTCTCTTTGCCGTGCGCAATACGTACAATCTATCATAAATTGAAGTTTCGTAATTGCAACTTCTAACGCAATCGACTTTAATGCGTTAGCCAACCAGCTTGGCATTTTACGGACAAACATGAAGTATTAGGCGACGTCACCGCAATGATAACACAATATCGTTATCTACTACCACAGTCAGTGTTATGCACCTTCCTGTTTAAAAGACATAAAGCATAGATTGACAACCGGATCGTGGAACACTAAATGTGTTCCTCATTATGAATCATTTCATAATAAAAATAATTGTGTTTGTAGTTAGTAACTAATACATACATGTATATATGCGTGGTGTAAATCGTAAAATGTATTCGCCACTTACGAAAAATCACTTTTAAACAGCACGAAAGCCGACATGCGGTCTCACGCACCACAATACACTATTCAATAAGTGTTATCAGGTCCACAACACAGTACAATTCACTTTATCAGTAGCACCAATTGATAAGAGACAGTCGCACGACAGGTCGGCCCGGCGTTTGAAGCACAAATGAAGTAGGAAGTAAAGCATCGGTACCGACCTGATCTTTTCCTGAGGCTGCGGGCGACGCTGCGACTGCGTCGGCTTACAACCTCCCACCGCAGCGTCTGTGAAACAGTGTTACATAAAGATACCACGTTTTAGAATATTCCGAGACTCTTTTGTTATTTATATTAAGAACGCAAGACAATGAATATACTAAGTGCCTGAAAAACGTGAGTTACGGTAAATCAAATTTTGACTTACGCATTTGACAATTGGTCGTTTTAGGATTAGTTTTTTAGAGATTTAGCCATTTTCATAACTAATCACGCGGCGCATTAGCCATTCATTTACTAAACCAAACTTTTTTTTTAATTTCACGCAAATGATGACGGCAATTAGGCTTCTTTTTACGCTACCATAATCGAATCTTCACAGCACTTAGACATACACAATTAGTGTATTTTTATCGAGGGACTAAAACAAGTCAATATATACCCGAGGTGGCTAACCATCTCGGGTATATATTGACTTGTTCGGGTGGCTAGCGAGGGTGTCTATTACTCCAAGGGTTTATATTAGCTTTTAGTCTATTCACTTCGATTTCGAGAAAAAAAAATATTTCAAACGTTTACGCTCTACACTAATTTCACGAACCAAAATTCTGAAGTTATCGCGCTATTTTTTTTCCAACCAAACAGAGATTTAAGTGCTACGTCGCGTCACTAAAATGGTCCATGCTCAAACGCACTAAAGCAGGAGAATATGACGCCACCGTCTCTGCGGAAAAGTCACGAAACTAAAACCGAGCGTGGTCTTAGAACGTAACATTTTCATAACGAAAATGGTCTATACACACGCACTTTTTTGTTGGATATCATTAAAAGTGAAATTGATCTCTGTGAAATTGTACATTTATTTACCTTGATCGATGAATTGTTATTAGTGCTTTAAATTATAATTATCTTTTTTGTTTCTGTGATTGTTTTAGTTGTAATTATGTGGTTTCACTTATTGAAATTTTAACTTTTGGCGCAAACTAGAGCAAGTACGGACTGTTTGAGTTTGTCTAGGTTACTCGAAGTAAAATTGAAAAAGTAGGTACTTTCTGCTCCCTACGGATTAAATGATGCACTTTACTCCCGCTACGTAAGGCTATATTGACATACTTTTAGAGCAAAAGTGAAAACTAATTTTATAATTGAATAATTATCACCTCAATTACTCTGTCCTGCTTGTTCGAGACATAGGCACCAAAAGTTTTTTTTTTCTTTGAAAAACGTCAATTACGCAGATTTTGTTTACCAGCAAAACTGAAACTAATTAAGATAAAAAAAAACGTTTATAGGGGGTGATAGATCTCTTTTTTTATAAAGTGTAAGTGCGCATTTGACCTCCATCTCACCTGATTGAAAGTGACAATAATAAATACTCGACGATAATAAATAAATAAATAAATAACGCACACACTCAACATAGCCCCGCACTAGGGAAACCCTGTGTCGCGGGTGCCATGGATACACACATAGACAACCACAAATTACACCCAAACTCACGAGAGAAATAATTGTAGGCCATACAACTATTTCTCCCGGCCCGGGAATCGAACCTGGGACCTCTGCGTGGCAGTCCGGCATGGTATCCGTTCGGCTACGGAGGCAGAGCAGACGATGGAGCATGCATACCTAAATAATGCCCATTCACTATCGCATTGAAAAGGCCCAAGTTATAAAGTACAGGGAACAAGTCTGCAGGCAGGGAATTCCACTCGATAGCCGTTCGCCATATAAATGTGGAAGCGTAACGCTTCGTGCGAATCTTTGGAATATCCTTAACAAAGGGGTGGAATCCAAGCCTACGTCTAGTCCCCCGGTGACGGACAGGGGAAGGCGGAATTAAATCGTGTAATTCCATCGCACACTCTCGGTTGTATCTTGTAAAATACCAATAAGCAGGCAACTTTACGGCGGTGTTCAAGGCTCTGCAGCTTCGCTTGTTAGCTTCACTAACTCCGAGCCACCTATGAGCCTCTTGACACGGTTGTTAATTCAATCCAAGGTGGCCAGTTGGTACGTAGCAGAGCCATCCCAAATATGGCAGCTGTACTCCAGGCACATCCGGACTTGTGCTTGGTACAGGTCGTTTCGATTATTCCAGATATGATAATAACTCAATTTCGCAAAAAATATCGATTACGTTTGTTATGATAAAGAGGACAGTGTTGTGAACATTGTTTCGAACAACATTGTTAAATCAACAAAGTTGATATTTAAAAGTACAACGGGAGACAACAAAGCAATGTACCACCATCTGGGATATCTCAATGCTTTCTCAATGCGCACCAGGGGCAAGGCGTGAAAATAATCATTAGTAAAGACGGTCCAACAAAAAAAATCTACCATAACAAAAACTTCTTAACACTTAAACACGTAACACTTATTAGATAGATAGATAGATAGATAAAAGCTTTATTCACCACCATGACATCAGATACATTATATAGGCATTAACTTATATATAACAATAATGATATTCTTATCTACTAATATTACACTTGGAAGTCATGGCAGTGAAAAAGGCGCTGGCTCAGCATAAACGACGCGGCTGCCCGCGACGCTGGTATTCTGCCAGGACCCTATAGGATAGAGACGCCACTCGCAATCCAACAAAAAACTGATTTCATTTTTAAATTATTAATTTTCAATTTTCAATCTTCTTCCTCCCAACCTCCACACATAATACACTATTTGCAGTCCTGAAACGAGGTACAGCCAAGAGCATAACAAGCCCGGCACCTTGGACCTTGGACCGTTCCTATCGCAAGCGGCACAGAGTTGAAATTAAACCTTAAATGTCAAGCATGACGCGCTCGCGGCCCTGCACGTGGACAAACAAGAGACAACCGCAAATACCCTAGCCACTCATATCCCCAACTTTTGCAAATTATTATTATAATTAATAATAATAATAATAATAAATTGTAAAATAAAAAATGTGACACAAGATACTATATAACCCGATGGTTTTCGAGTTTTCAGCCGCCAGTTTACAGCTTACTTTTGCAAATGTGTGTGTGTATTTTGATATGAGCGCCTAGGTTTCGTAGAAGCCGGGGTCCGACCGGCTTGCGTGGTAGAGCGCGCCCTGTAATTGACAGAGATACTGAGATTCAACATACTCCGTATTATTGAATATTTTGAAAATAAGTTTTTTAAGAGGCGGGGTCTAAAGTTTTTTAAGAGGCGGGGTCTACGCGCCGTTTAGTACAATCTTATGGTAATACGTGGAAAATTTTAGGCAAGCCGGTGGGATTCGATTTATAATGGACGCCTCGTCACTGATGCACACTGCACTATACAAGGTGTAAATTTGAGACGGGGCAGCAAGGCCAACTACCTTAATCGTTGTAGTTACAGGAAAACGGTTCCAGAACACTATCCATGAATTTTGAAGATATTTTGATTAGCATTCACAGATTTTGAAAAAATGGTACAGTCAGCCAGATAAAAGGCAATTTTTTACAAAACTTTTATTTTATGTCATTCGATCCGGTCTCTGTTAAGGATCAATAGTCTCTATGGGACCAACTGAGGTAAAAGTACTCGAAATGGCAATGTGTATACCTGATAAATAAATAACAAAATATAACGCATGTTTAAAGCCGTGTTATTAATGCTTTCGTTATACAATGGTTTTTTAAATGGGAAAGTAGATATGTTTTGAAAAAAAAAATAGTCCATTTTATTCGTTTTGTATGAAACACATTTGATTAAATTTGATAAGCTTCTGCTGTCCCGATTTTTTTCGTCCCATACATTGAAATGATTCTAACATGAAAGTGAATCGATTAGCACTGAAAAATGTTTGATCAGTTTTATTCATTTTTACGCACAACTCACGCTTGACCAAAAAAGTGACTATGACAATTTTCACAAAAAAAGATTTAATGGTTCTTAAGACAGTTTCCTTATATCTTCTATGGTTTCGGATTTCCCTACATTGTCCGATTAAAAATTCTTTCCTTTTCTTCTTTGCTGGATTTGTTGATGGTAAAAAAACAATATCGTGAATGAAGTTATCAAAGCGACCTGATAAGACCCACGTATGAAATAAAACTATACATTAACAAACAGTGAGATTGCATAACAGTACCTGGTGATGTAACCGTAAGAGTGCAGAATTAATCAAGTTAAACATCAACTTAATGTTTGTACGTCTTGCCCTAAGCGGGCTCAAAAGAGAAAGAATAAAATTTAGAACGGTACACATTTCGTTAGCGCATAACGCGTAAGGAAATGTGACAGTGGTTTGAATAATGATAATAATGAACTGCCAGACCATCACACCAAACACATGTTCTCAAAAGCAGGGATTCTCTGTTCCAGAATAAGAAATTTCACTGCGGAGCACAACCCAGAATACTAAGATCAGCCCCAGTAGCATGGCTACCCATGATAGTCGCGACGCGCGCGATAAAATTGAAATAAGCGCGCGATATTGGCTATCTCTATCAAATCTAATTTAGATATATAATAAAGCTAGTAAAGATAATAAAGCTTAGCCATGCTACGGGGGCTGAAACCAATTATGAAAAGTTCGTTGTACTTTTTTTATGATACCAAGGGACAGACAGACAAGTAATGCGCCTGTTGGTCAGCGAGACGCCTATCCAAGACAGTTGCAGTGCCATTCAGAGCTTGGGGCACTGCCAGTGCGCCCATCACTGTGAGACATAAAATGACTAGTCCCAAGTGCTTATAATTTCACCAGCATCCTTACCTTTCAAAACCGGAACGCAGTCATGCTCACATTAGTGCTCGGCGGCAGTACTTGACGAGCTCTTTCACAACGAGCTCTACTGCTACCAAAATATAACTTGGTTCTACCAGAAGTTCACCAACGAATTTGCCTTCGAATATAACGCCCAGGGTTTTAATAGCTGCGCTACCGAGGTCATCGTTTTATTTTTGGCTCTTAAACATTGCACGCAGTTAAACTTCCTTAACATACATAGTATATAATATACAATATACCTAATCAAATACGTCCCCATATTCAGTATCACCGTAACCGTTCCTATTTATTTACACAGTGGCGGATTTACTTTTGAGTCAGAGAGGTGGAC